AATTGTTCTTTGCAAAATTTGTTTCCCAGTTGAAAGAAAAGCTACATTCTTTAAAGTTCTTTCATTTTGACACCTGCATCATTCCTGAAGGCCAAATTCAAAACCCTCCCTTCTTTCAAGAGCGTTGCACACAACTTGTAAAACAGAAGTTGTAGAAATATCAATAAGAATATTGCTGGGAAACAAAGGGATGAGGAAAAGACTCTACACAACTACAAGTGTTTAAGATGAAGGGTAACCAGAACTATTTTATTCTTTCAAACCAGGCTGTAACGTAAGGCGTTTCACATCACACAATACATAATGTAACAGTAGTCTTCATTAGAAACATAGTGTAAAGGTATTGTTGGTTACCTTTTACTACCAGACTAGAATCCTCCTGGCTTGAGGAGTGAAATGCTGGAACACGTCTCTGAGGTCTGGTTGGTGGACTGTCATCATCACTGTCACTATCATTATTAATGGGCCTTGAGGTCTGAGACACACCTTAACAATAATTAAGTTGAATATTAATTCACAAATTTAGAATTAACTGAGGTCTCCCTTCAGTCCACCTATTGGATTACATGGGAAGCAATGGAAAGGGGATTTGATGAATTTCTACCTAAACCCAGTTTATATAGATTCCTGAGTTTTCATCCTTCCCATTAGTCTGCACTTTCAGATATTTCTGTTGAAACGGATTATACACTGGCTTCCTTTGACATTTGCATACCTTCCCTGTATTGTGTGTTTTCAATAACCCTTACCTCCTGTTCCACTCAATAAAGCATATGAACACACATAGAGTATGCCAATTGAATAAAGAATGCAAGATTTATCATTGCTGCATAACCAATCTAGATACATCAATATGTATCTACAAATACCACAATAAAAATCTTTTAATAATCAACTACACTGTAATAAGTGTATATGTAAGGGCAGTCATTTCTCCATCTAGTTATTTATTTTTGTACAGTATGTGCTAATGGAAAACAATGTTTTATTGTTGTGTGAAGATTCAGCCAGAAGGGCTGAAGGAAAAGTAAGAGCCAATGTTAGCATCCCTCACTTCAGCCAAAGTATGATTTAAACACATAAATCATGTACCACTATTAAATCAGAAATTTTTATTCTAATCATAACTTGATAGAAACAATTGGTTTTCAATACCTGTTGATGGTGTTCCCCTTCTTCTCACAGGGCCTATCATAAATGTAAAGGGAATTATTGTCAACCAAACTGATAAAGTGTTCTTTTAATCTGATTGTTAAATTATACAAACAAATTGCATCATGAATCGGTTTAATGATTGAATTGGTTTATCAAATTGAGTGTCTTGCACTGAGTATTAAATAGGAAAAAAAAACAAACAAACAAACAAAACTTTAGAGCTAAAATTTCAGTGGAAAAAAATCTGAACTACAATTAAAATTGAACCACAAGGCAAAAAGTCCTCTTAAAAACAAACAATCAACAGAATGGTGTATATGTTAGATCACTGAGTAACATACATCAAATTGCTCAACTGCATCACAATGTTACAGAACAAACCTCGTACAGTCAAATCAGAATCATCCTGGTTTGCAGTTGCCATAGGAACACGTCTCCTTGGTTTTACTTGAACATGTTCATCATCATTGTCACTATCATCACTCAGCTGCCCTGTAGTAATTTATTTATACATCAAGAATGACACAAATCAGTTCTTAGGGTGTTTTTTCTCATTAAATATGTGAGCTATAGAATGCATGAACTGAATTCCAAAGAGATTTTATTCAATGACTAGTCTGAATGTAAGTTAGAAAAGCAAGACATTGCTGCAACAAACAAACAAATTATACCCAGCTTTGATTACCAAACAAAGTTTTTTTTCAATTTTAGCCAAAACAGGCAGAAACAGGGCTAAATTACAACTACTTACTTCAATAAAATTGAGTACACTCAGAGCATGGGAAAAATGACAAATTTGCTTTCATATATAGTGTACTTGTGATGCTCTAAGCAAAAACCACAATGCTGAGTGACATGCCAATGGAATGTAGCAGATCAGTGATCCAATGACCAGTTTGAGATCATCCAAATCACTGATCTGATGAATTCCAGAGTGGATTCAATGGATCAATGATCTAAAAAGGGATTTGCATCAAACAAATGCCACAGATCAGAAATCCTGATCTGGATCATCCCAAAGGAATGCACCCTTAAATAAAATCTACACCTCAAATTACACAACCAAGTAACAGTAAACAATAGTTATTAAGAGAACATACTGTCATCATGAACAGGTTGTTGCTGCACTGAATTGTGATGGGAGTCTACACTGGTATGTGGGGGAGATCTAGACAATGCCTCTGTAAAACAAACCACACAAACCATGGATACAAAGCACATGTACTTGTATTGTATTAAGTACCTCACACAATGATCTAGGTGAAACACATATCTGGCAGTTCTCACATTCAATATTGTTGTAGATGTAAATATGTAACATTCAAAATGTTTTTGACAATTTGTCACATTTTCTTGTATATGCTAGTGGAGACTTTGATGCAATTGGTTTCAATGTACATGTATTTGAATATCGTCAATTGGTTAGAACACTCAAGAAAAGTTACACCTGAGTCCATATGTGTTATACACAACCAATGTCATTTAAATGATACAAGAAGATGAACCCTTTCACTCTCAAGACCTCTATAGTAATTCTCCTTTCTGTCTGCCACACAATTGTTACGCTACTTCAGAGAATTTAAAAATCCAAAAGTTTATATTTTTTAAAATTCTCAGCACTTGTCTTCTTGATATCACATTGATATTATTTGGGACAAATTCTGAATGTACTGTTTAAGAATGATTTCTCAAATATCAAGAGGAATGACATGTATAATTATCACTTATTATTGATTTAAACTGTATTAGAACCAATACCTTCCTGTGCTGCAATAGACTCCAATTTTGCCAAAAGAGAGCCTCTTACTTTATTGAGTTCAGGTACATCCAAGTTGTCCTTCAGATACTTATAAGGACTTACTCTCTTCTGCTCCACAGAGGGTGGATGGCTTGGAGACACATATAACCTAATCAGGTATAAAACAAAAATACAAAACCAAACACAAAACAAAACAATGTAGGGTTTCTGAGATTTACACTTCCTGCAACCATACAAGTGTTCATGTATGGTACAAGTTTTAATTGTATAATAAGCTTAATTATTCTTGCATTTTGATTGGTTCTTACTTATGATCTTTTGAGGACAGACACCAAAATGACAACACCATAAACATCTTGCTTTTTAATCATGTAAAACAAACACACGTAGATTCCACGTTGAGTTGAATAATGTAAAGGTATTACAAATTACGATAAATTTGGTTGTTTGATCGAATATGACGTCTTCATCTATTGAAACCATCTGTGCTTACCCGAACATGTGATTCTGACTGAAGAAAAACTCTACAACTATTATGACAGATTGAAACAGAAAAGCCGCTCACTTGAGAAGTAATGCACTCGTACTGTTTACTGAAAAAACATTTCAAAGGAGCTAACTAAGCTTGGATTAGTCCAAGGGTAAGTGATAATGAAATTGTTTGAGAAGCCACCTAGAGTACAGAAAGCGAAAATCACCAAAGTTACCCACCATGTATCCTCATCTTCCTCTACCATAGCGTTCAAGTCCAATAATGGGACATCATCCAAATTTAACTTGACTTTGACCATGTTATCGTCGTTGATTCTGTTCGAGGGGACACGCCGACTATCCGTGCTCTTTAGTTGCGCATTTTGTTCTTCAAGCCGTTTCACCATCTCCTGCAGTCGCTTGATGTCTGAGCCAGCAGATTTTCGCAACTCCGCGCTCATGTTACATTCGTGACGTGAAGCCTTGCAGACTGACGTCCTGTTGTGAGTTATAAAAGAATGTATCATCTACTGTATAACTTTGATGCCATTTGATTTGCTCAAGCCTTCGAGTACTTATAGAAGCCCACGGTCACTCCGCACAGCTGTAATTGGGATACGTCATATATGAAAGTTTTCATGTCCGCTATATAACACCAGATTGGTTCAAGGATTTTCTTTTCCAGCAAAAATCAAAATAAAATGACAATCCAACAAATGAATGAAGTTTGCAGAGTTCTCTCCAAACATCATGATTTCCTCGGCGAAACTGCTCATTTGATGTACAGCCGAAGGACAAGGGCCTGGCGCTGAAAATAGGACCTCTTGCAAATCACGCAGAGACCTCTTGCCAGCTCGCTTTGCGCGGGGCTTCAACCTTACATGCTCTTTTGGTGCATATTTTGATGCATTATGGTTAATATTTGAAGGGACAGGATTTCTTTCCCTTCCAAGCTGTTAAGTTGTAAGCGCTAAGTTTCTTCCCCCACCACCTCTCCTAAACATAATTCTACGTGCACCGCGCTGCGGCTGACAAAATTCAAAAGGGGACCCACCCTTTAGGCGTCTTTGTATTGTACACCGACACGTGACCAGCTGTAACCAGGTCAAGACAGATTAAATAAAATTGCCAGTTATGGCACCCCGCGCTGTTTATCATCCGATTTTAGTGTTTCTTAAAATTTTTTTATAGTTTCTTTCACGTTGAAAAGGATTTGGCTCATCGCAGAAAACGACACAAAATATCGGGAGGTGGCGGTCATAAGAAATTTACCAGTGGTTCCTTTCAAAGCATAAAAACTAATGAAAAGTATATTAATCGAGATGAAGTAAACTTTAATTTAAAAGGGCAACTCCTTATTCGTGACCGGGGAGGAAGGGGGCGAGGTACTTCCTGGTAAGAGGCTGATGCGGATGTGCACCTGTATGGGGCTGCATTCTCACGACTGGATTCACCACAATGGGGTTACATTTTCAATGAAGTTACAAGAATGGTGTAGTACATTTACGGTATCTTCGGGATAAGAACATTCTGGTATGTAGGGATTTTAAAATGGGAAGATTCGCAGTTACAAAGTTGTTATATTTGTCTAAAAGTGACTAAGATGGGGTTAATAAATGGCCACAAAGCAGACTATAATGGGATAGGGGTTCTGAGAGGCCAGCGGCTAATACACAGCAAAAATTGATCATATCACCCACCCGGGATTCTCGATTCTTTCTGATGTGTTTCCAAGAAATATTACATCATGACATTATCGTACTATATCATCGTGACTAGCTAAAACAACTCTAAAATTACTTTTTAATGTACGTTTTAAAACCACGCCCCTTTTGGAACTTGTTGTGGCGCTTGAATTGTTAGTTCTCTTGCTCTAGCCCAGGCCTCTCTTGGCGACAGATTAATTCTTGTTGGTTCATAAGTAGTGTTGATATTACTTAGAGCAATATGCGTATCAGTATCCATTTCTGACAGATCTGAAAGTTCTGACGGTAACTCATCCTCAAAATTTCCTTCTGGGGACACTGTTCTCTTTTTATTTTCCCGTCGTCCCCTCTTGCACAGCGCAAACAAAATACAGTGTAAAGCGGACACCGCAAGCGCAGAAACCCCGACGACGATTCCTATCTCCACAGGAGTGAGGCCTTGTTCGCGAACATCGTCCTTGTCGGAGGGAGAGATGGTTCCGCTTAACACTAGAAAAAATCATTTTGTTCATTTTAGCTTCTGTTGTACAATGGCGTTATAACGTTTTTAGAGGAATTTAGACTACATATATAGTACAGAGATGAACTGTTTGACAAACGTTACAGATTGCAAGGTTCCATCGTAATTTCCATTGTAAGTTGCCAAGCCTATGAAGACGTATCATGAATCGAAAATAAAATTTACCAAGTTGTGGAATTCTCAAAATGTCAAGAAGCCTCAATTGAAGTCAACGAGTTCGGTTTCAATTTGCAGCTATAACTCGCATGGCTTTGAGAATCAATCGAGGTATGGTGACCTCGAAAACTCTCTGGGCCGTGGTAATCTCCAAATTGAAGTCGTGAAAAATGTGAAATATTTTTCAAAGATTCGACTGTTCTTTTTCAAACTTTTTTTTATTTGGACCTCCCATATCTTTACCTCGATCAAAGTTGAACGAGAGGAAAGTATTATTGTCCTCGCCTGTCTTAGTTAGTCTGAGTTGCACCTCTAATGCTGGTTGCTGCGCATGCTCAATATTATTTTCCTTCCTGTACATACGTAAGGACTGAGGGTGTGAAGTCATGACATCACGCTTAGTTTTTTTGGCTGGACGGGTTACCAAAGTTTACGAAGGTACATTGGCTTTAACAATCTTACTTGTGAATATGAAAGCGATCTTCGCAGTAATAATCACTACCTAAGCGGCAGTGAAAATAAGGTCTGAAAAAATTCAGGCCTGCACGGGATTTGAATCCGTGACCACTGCGATACAGGTGCAGTGCTCTACCAACTGAGCTAACAACCCAACTGGGAGCTGGCTGCGGTTCACAAATATTCACAATCATTGAGACTTACTTGTGCTGCTTTCAACATGGCGCGTGCTTTGTGGCGATGTCGTCTTTGCAGATGTTGATGATGTGTAAGGATGACACAAAAAATCAAAAGTACCGCCAGAAGAAATGTTTACAACTGAAACATCAGTCATTACAGCAGATCCAGTAATAAGTGGAACTTCAAAAGATATTTTTCCCAGCTTAACCAGGCGCTCAAGACGCGTTTTCATTTCGTTGATCGGATGTAGTACAGTTTCACCCTCGTTGCTCAAGGAAAACCGAATGGATGTCTGTCAATAGAAAACAAGTTCAGTTACAGATGATAAGACAGAGAGGAAGAGAAAGAAAAAGTGTTATATCTGTTTGAAATTCAGCCGATTATGGGAAAATGATATACTTTGATGATATATATATATTTTTTTAAGTAGAAACAAAAGTTAATTAGCAGAGATTGAACAACATCGAAACAGAAATAGATCGTAGTTAATTGGTACTGTAAACAGCTTTTTTTTTACAGACATACAATATGTGTGTGTGTGTATATATATATATATATATATATGTCACGTCATTTTTGGCAGAATGAAAGTATAATAATACGTGTTTCTGTTAAAAAAAAATTCATTACCTTGTTAAGGCATAGGCGACGAATTCTACTGACTAGTGAGCTTCCCACAAGTTTACTGAGGATGGACTCCAACTGGGCTTTAATGTTACTCTTTTCTTGTGAGGGCTGTGGTAGAGCTTGGTCCAAGGTAAATAAAACATGAAGACTATGGAGATAAGAAACTCTTTTTTTAACTTAAGATGCAGTTTTATACAATTATTAAGGCATAAAAAACTTACTCTGTAAATTCCTTAGGACTCCTTGCGGTGTAAACTGCACGTATATCGGCAGCAGGTCCAAGCACAACTTTACCTTGATTTACCAAGTGTTCTATAGTTTCTTGCATGGTCTTCAGATCACTATTTGAGGTTGTAGCTTGTAATTTAACAACGATTCCATCCTGTCAAAGAAGAAGAGTTTTGGCTGAAATAGTAAATGAATCAAGTTTCAGTAAAAGGCAGCGGCACAGAGGGGTTTGCAGTTGCCAGACGCAGAAAAGGTAGGACAAACAAAACAAAAAACAAAAAAACCAACAAAAAATAAAACTAAGTGGATAGAATAAAACTTAATTTCAATACTCAGCAGCTCCATTACTAACAAAGCTATACACTAACTTCGCTACCTGCAGCACACTGGTTTGAAGAAGTATGAGACACGAAGTATGCAAGATTACTAATAACTTATGGCCAAATAAGTTTTCCTTTGCTCTTTTTCTTGTCTAATCTAACTTGGCTTGGGCTTTTCGAAAATCATAGTTGAAGTAATTGTATCACCTTGATACCCACCACTACCACCTATAGTCAAGGGGCGGGAGGGACTAATTGACATATATTAACATGATAAATAAGTAACCTCCGTTACCTCAATGCGCAATACACGGAAGAATGAAGGGAACTTGCGCATGTAAATTATACCACCGTCTTGTTCATGCGTTTTGCTGCTTTGTCCATGTATACCAAACTACCTTCAAGTCATACATTTCTAAGCAATGTCGTCTAAAATACATTTACGCGTTAAAATTAAGAAGGACGAAACACTCTTTTCATGTCAAGTCTGATAGGAAAGTCAGCGTCAAACTAAGGGCTACTGGAAAGTTTTCGGGTGTTTGTGGGATTTTTAAAAAACATTTACAGATAATTTGGTTGTTTCGGCTTCAAAATTAGTCCCAAATAACGCATGAGCACAGTATAAGTATCCATGCAATGAACTGGTGACTTACCTTCTGCAGCTGTAAAACACCAATGTTAAGTGGGGAGGTACTGCTTACCAGTCGCAGTAAATTTGTCTTGAATAAGTACTTTATAGTGTTTTGTTGATCAACCAGTAAACTCATGAAGTTTTGGCAAGGAAAACGGACAAACATCGACAAACTGAAAAAAATGATGTAAAAAAAACCGCGTTAGTTTTGTATGCCATTACCATACGTTTTATGGAAAAAATTAGCCGTTGTAGTCATAACCTTGTTTTTCGTTTCCTCTACATTCGTCATCTTTTTTCTTAGAAGAAAAGAAATTCCAACGTTCCTCAGTAAAAGGCTGTTTTCAACATTTGAAGAAAGTGAATTATTTTGGTTTTCAAAATTAATACAGGCTTCTATTTGAAATGTTCAGTTACCTTTGGCTAGTTCTACATTCTGAGCTGCACAATGGAACCTCTTGTTCTGAACACCAGTGACAGCCTAAAGTGTTTCCACATTCACTTATGTTCGCTCTACAAACGAAAAATTAAAAAAGAAAAATGATCGAGTTCATGTATCTTTATGATCTGAGAGATATTATCAAATAGTTACTTTAACAAAGATATAGCTCGAATGAAAAGTGGCAAGGCTTTCAACATTTACTCGCCACATAACCCTAAAGAGACAAACCTTTAATAAATCAAAGGGAAAAAAGGCATATTCTCGCTCCAAATCGTTTGAAGCTCATGTGTTTTATTACATATCAAACATCTTTGCAACTTGCGAGAAAAATCGTTTTCAGACTGCAAACCGTAAAATAGTCTACTGTGTGGGATATGATTTTTCACGCAAACACCCTCCCATTTTCACAGTAATGTAGGTGAGGTTCGAAACTTGATGAATGTCACCCGACATTCCCGAGTCTTGGCGTGGCATATTCGATTACGTGACGCGTTTAGATCAATAGCTCACGAGCAAAAATATTTGAAGTACTGTGACATTTTTCAATTAAAGTTTCAGTAAAAATTTCTCAACAAAGTACACTATTGTCTTGAAATTAAATGAACTAAGACTAAAAATCGTAATGCCACGTTATACTACTACCATATCGGTTTTTTTCTCGTACATTTGAACACAATCTCGGGCACATCTGGGCGCAGAGGCTAGTGCATCCTTCAGAGCAACGTCTTCCTTATCTGTGTCAAACAGCGGGGGAACCGAGACTGTCAAAGAAATGATATGAAAATATTATGTTTATGATTGATTTTTTTATTATTGTTTTTATCATAACACTATCTTTTGAATGGTTTTCCAGTGGCTCTACAAAGAATTGAATCACCAGTTCTGGTTTTCTTGCTGTTCTCAGGTCAGGTCAGGTCAGTTTGGATGCTATAATCCCACAGTAACTTAAATTTAAGTTCTTTCCAGTGTACATTTTCATAACGTTCCCTCCACTTTTCTGCTGAAAACCACACTTTCCTGATTAGTCCCAGTGTACCGCCGCGCTATATCCTCCTGTACTAACAGAACCAGTTGAAGGCAACCACTTGCAATATAGCTTCCTGTTTAATTTGTCTGTTTAACACATTCTGCCCGTGGCATTCCCTTGGATCCAATCTACACTTGTTGTTTCTTTTTGTGGTTTGTTCCTACTGCCAGGTCTTAAGCAATGATGAGAGCCTCTGTCTCTGTGTTGAGCTCTCCTTTTCGCAGACATACCCAGATATTCTCATTGCTCTCGTTCTCTGTTTGCCTGATGGAGTGGCCATACAGAGTCTCATCTTTGGACCCCTTCCTCCCTCTGGCCCCAGTATCTACGGACGGGCTACGCAGTCCTTTGAATTTAAAACTCTGTTCATTGCTAGAATCATTCTTGTTCTCATACCAAGATGTTGAAATCCTCTCTTTGTCTTATCATTAATCCCTCCAGTATACCTAAGGAATACGGCCTAAATTTTGAATCCTTATATCAACTTCAATCATTGATTTGGATTCCCACAAATTTCCTGAATCACCTCAGATAGTCCTTGATGATGTTATTCTTTATCGGCTCTATCTGGTCATAGAGTCCATAAATGATGTGAATCAATTCGTCGGGCTCCATGACTCCTCGCAGTACTTGCAACCGTCGTCACCATCTCTCATTTCTTTAATTTTGCTGTTGTCGGGAAGTAGATGATACTTGATCATACTTGGGTGCACCATTTTTGCCCCATTTCAGGAACAGGACTCTACATTTTGTAATTCCAAATGACTGAGGCTTGGCACAGCTTGCACTAAGGAACGAAGCAGGGCTTGCCTATGATGAATTTGTTAAGTAATATTCTAGAATACTCTAGAATATTCCAGGATGTTCAGTTTTCATAGAACTTGTTTTGACTTGTCTCGAGCTTATTGAAATATAAATAGAATAAGGCGGTGATACTGATGAGCAAGACAATTAAATTCTGACTGTTCGTTTTTTAGATTAGGTAATTTAGTGTTAACAACTGAATTGAAAACGTAAATTGGCCACCGTAAAGGGTAAAAAGTTGACGTTTCGAGCGTTAGCCCTTTGTCAGAGCGATGGGGCTAACGCTCGAAACATCAGCTTTTTTACCCTTTACGGTGGCCATTTTACATTTTCAACCCAGTTGTTAACACTAAATTACCTGTTATACTCTCCCACCGACGCAGCACCACAGTTTCTTTAGAAACTTACCTCCTTTATTCGTTTTTAGATTGTTCGTTTTGTTGTTGTTTTTTTTTGGTGTTGTAGTTGTCATTGGTTTAGTCTGTTGCAATTTTTTGTGTTCTTGTTAATAATTGAGAAAAACAAGAAAATCTCCTTTAGAGGACGATACAGTGGGAGCATTCCATATTTTTGGTCCTCAGTGTAGTGTAGCGAGCTGTTTAATGTTGCTTCTGCAGATGTGAGGCCAAAGGAGCTCCTTATTTATTATATAAACTGTTGCTTCCAGAATCTTATATCACACTACATATATATGGAAACAGCTGTTTGATAAACGAACACTACCTACAATCATCCTTACCTGGGCAAGGCGATGATGTCCACAGACTTGTTACAGAATTTTCACACTCGTCATATGACATGTGACAAGAGCAAGGACACTAGAAGACAAAGAAAAATAATGGAAAACCCTTCATTAATGATAAGAGCACTTTAGAGAACAGATGCAAAAAACTTTGCTCCTTTTATAGGCCTTTGTTTGCCTTTTTGTAGATCAAAAGCCTGGGAAACGGGCTTGTAAGTCTGTTCATTGAAGACTGTCCTTTTACGTGGAGAGACTGACCTGACAAACGGACACAGCATTGGTTGAGCAGACCCTGCAAGACTCCTCACAGAAACAGTCCTAAAATGTTTGGAAAGAAACGAATTGGTGGTTACAAAATTTTCCTTGTTTAAACGTGTGTCTTTTGTTACGTTTGATAACTGCCTTACGTAATGTTTACACAGTTCCAACAAGTTAGACATGTTTTTTAATTGAAAACCACAAGCACTCACAGAACTAAATCAAGCTGAAGAAATTGACCTTTCTTTGAAATAATGAATATAGCTAAGAACTTTTAAAATAAGCAAGACGTTTGACGGTGACAAACGGCATTAGAATAAGAAGAAATATTTGCATTTTCTATTTACAAAATAACTTCATGCTATCGGCAAAAGATTGACCTGAGAGCCATAGAAAACATTGCCGCAGAATATATGATAATCTCAAACCTCATTTGGTGCAGTAGGTCGGTCGGTGCAGTTATGCAGACTTCTCGATGGAAAGCTGAGCAAGAAAAGTGACGTTCCTTGTATTTGGTTTAAGCTGAACTGAAGACAGGGATCTGAACTTTTTGAAGAGGCTCCGTCAGCGGAATTAATGAGCTCATAGAACAATTGAACTGTGTGCTGTTGGTAATCATTGCACCAAGATGTCTGCAAAAACAAGTCCCATTCCTCAAGAGTTGTTCCCCATCAAGTCAGTTTCAACTGCCCACGGATTCAGAATTTTAAAATGGAATAGGAAGTTAGAAAATGACCGACTTCATTTTTTTGAAGTTTTAAACAAATTGTTTTTATGCAAGATACAGCCGTGTATATTGTTTTAAACTAAACTGGTCAGTTCAGGTTCAACTGGATATTATGATTTTCAGCAGAAATGTTTTAAAAGTAGTTTCTTCTTTAACTGAAGGGCATCCTCCTTCACCTTAACTACCACGCTCATGATTTACTGTCTTCATTTACATCATCATTGCATGTAAGCATTAGATATCAACATCCCTATCTTCCAAGTACACAAGAAGTTTCTCAGCATGGACTAGTTTAATGGCCTTACTTGCCATAGGTCTCCTCAAGCTCATTGATAGAGCGTCCGGGGCACTGATTTGAAGGTAAGTTCGACTCCTATTGGAAGCATCCGGTTTTTTTTTTCTCCGAGCATGTTACTAACTGAAAACACTCTTCTTTCACTTAAATCACCAGGCTTATGACTTATCATCTTCATTAACATCATTATTGTGCATAGGCGTCACATATCGACATCCCTATTCTAGCTGTATGCATGAAGTTTGTCACCATGGACCTAGTTAAATACCATAGCTTGCTACATGTCTATCATATTTCAGTGATAGAGCACTTGAGCTGCATATACTAATCAGAAGGGCGTAGCTTCGAGTCCTAGAGGGAGCACCAGTGTTTTTATTTTATCCGAATCTAATCCTCCTTCACTTAAATCACTAGGCTTAAAATTTACCACCTTCATTTGAATTATAATTTTGCATAAGTATTACATATTAACATTCCTATCCTTGCAGTATGGAGGAAGTTGTCCTTTGTGGACCTAGTTAAACGGCCTAGCTTGTCATGAGTCTCCTAAAGCTCAATGGTAGGGCGTCCGAAGTAAAAATCGAAGGGTCGTCGGTTCGACTCCTGCTGTGAGCCCTTGGCGTGTTATTCGCTGATAACATCTCCATCCATCGTCATTCTCATATAATCTTCCCACTTGCTTTGCACGACATCAATTTTTCGCCTAATTAGTTATGCTTTTACCTGTACAGGGGAATGATGTTATTGAATGATTTATCTCTTTTGCTGATATTCCCTCTTTTTAAGTGCTATGATACCGACAGGGTTGTAACTCATGCATCAACATTTTAATTAAAGCACCTTCAAATTTTTGTCCTTTTTGATTAACTGACTCGCCAGCCAAGGGAAAACGTCTGTTAAATGCCCCTTGTGAGTTTTCAGACTAGTGGAACGAGAGAGGTTCATCATAATCTGTCTGAAACGTAAAGTCGAAAAGCGTGTCATTTTGTCCCAAAGATGCAGTGTCGGAGCACGACAAACTTGTGCTTTAAAAACGGTCTTAAATTTTACATCTCGCCACAGAACTGTAAATTCCCTATTAAGCACCACGTCCAAATTTGCAGCTGGGCCGCATGAAGCATTTGTTTAGACAACACTATTTACAAACGAAAAAGGTTCCCTGTTGCTTAAAGAGAAAATTAACAGCAAAATTAATTAAAACATTATTCAACCTCTGCTCCAGCTTATTCTCGTTACTTCCTTTTTGGGGAACATTGAATTTTACTTTGTCTGTTTGTGTCGCAGCAAGCAAGAAAATGGCCATGAAAAAAGTATGACTTCAACTCTTACCCACTCCGTTCGACGATGTACCATTCTTCGCCACAATCTTTTTCAAAATCAACCTGCAATGCAGTAATGATGCTAGTGGTAAACAATGGACCGAAATAATCGTTTATGGTGCCGGTGTCTTTCTTAATTTTATATTTTAATTTTTTTAATTTTTGCACTCCTTCCGATTCTTCCCTTATTTACCCAGCTTAAATTAAATTTCTGGTAAATTTCGGGTTATGTGAAGTAGGTGCCACAACAGTTCCTATACTTTCTTTAGAAAGACCGGCGCATCATGTAAAGATTTACTTGCCTTTTCAGTAATGAGCTGCACAAAGGCGTGTTTGGTCATTTCCATTCCCATGACGGCCAGCACATCTCGCGCTTGATTGTCGCCGAACTGGACACCTGCACTGCTGCACAGTGAAAACAGAAAACAGAACAGCCATACGATCCACTCGTGTTTTAATTTTTTCCTAAGGATTCAGCATTAACAATGTTCTCAACGTATATACCTAAATGATAGGTGAACTCAATTCCTTTGAAATAATAAATTACACACATTTTATTGACATAAAGGAAAAGATTGTTGTAACTTGTTATCTCAACTACGTATACGTCCCTGGTACTTTTAAGCCCGGCTCTGATAAGTAAGCCGGTTGGTAGCGAGCTCAGCGTTGTAAAGCAAACGTAATTTCAGAAAATAATGATACCGTTATTCATAACCTTGGATGTTTAATTACCATACCTTGTCCTGGGAATAGCTTTACTTAAGCTTAACACTTTATCCTGCTGGTAAGCTGAATTTCTCAGTGACACAACCATCATCTCAGGCGTTGAAGATGCTTGCCTATACCTGCCACAGTTACAATATTTGAAAGACAGCGTTTAGATAAACAGTGTCTAATTTAATCTAGTTCTCATTTATTGATGAATTTCAATCATTCAAATCCTTGTCAGCTTAAGTCCTTTCAAGGTATTGGTCAGAAAAAGGGACCCGGTTTGAATGGATAAATGTTAACAACGTGTTGATTATCTAAGTATTGCAGAACAAAACTATCACTGTCCTCATAATAAGTTTAACTACAGGCTCATTCAATACATCAAACTTATTTAACATGACGTTATAGACATGAATGGATCTTTTCCTGTTGTTCTGTACCACTGAGAAGCTTTACTCACCAAGATTGCTGTAGGTGAGAATATGTCTTTTGCAACCGAATACCAGGAAACGTTCTTAATACTCCTTGTTGTGTTCCAACAAATCTGAAAATGAATGTTTGAATAATATGTCTTCGTTTTTTCCGCCTTATCCAAAAAATGAAAATTAGAAATAAAAAACAAGGCAAAAGAAATTAAAAAACCTTACCTCCAGGTAACTAAGTACTGGTTTGTTAATTCGGCTCTCTTCCAGAAGTCCTCCAATTCTGATGTCATCATCACCTCTGCACGGATTGCTTCACTAAGGCCTATGAGTAAAGAATTTTTATTATATAGATACTGATGAAATACCAGGATTTTTCCTTTTACTAAAAAATCATATCTTCATCGCGCGCAGTGAAGATACTATTTTTATCTTTCACGTGTGAGGATATTGGTGTCGCCATGGTTACTAACATGATTGGCCAATTACAAGAGAACCTCCCACTCAGGCGCGCGAAAATGAATAAAAAAAAATTGTTTTTCACGTATGAATTTCAGCAGTATCTATAGAATAAACAGAACATTACATGGCCGCTTGGGGATACGTATTTTATCTTCTCGTGCTGAAAGTATCTCTCATTCGTTCGCTGAGCTCACTCGTGAGGGATACTTTCAGCACTCGAAGATAGAATTCGTTTACCCGCGCGGCCATGTAATATCCTCTATATCCAAGGTGCTATAGCTGTAACAAACTGGGAAATGACTATTTTATTATTCAAAAAGAATAAAAAACAAGGCAAAAGAACTATTTTTAGAACCTCGTGAGGGATACTTTTTATTCGTGCCATGTAATATCCTCTATATCCAAGGTGCTATAGCTGTAACAAACTGGGAAATGACTATACCCTTTTATTTCCTTAATTCTCATAACCTTTCTATTTTATTCAAGGGTGATACTATAGGAAGAAATGAGATGCCGGTTTGTCTTAGGGGTTGAATCGTTAACCGTAATTATAACTAGAAATACTTATTTTTAAACACTTAGAAAAATGTCCTCAGACCTTTGAAACGAACGTGAGGGACATTTTCATTGAAAAACCGTTGGATATTTTGCACATCTCTGATTGTTTCTGTATTGTAGATGAATTCATCAGAATCATTAAATGCTTCTGGAGAAATCTGGAATAAAGAATTTTACATGTGGATTAATAATAAAACAACTGAGTTGTACTTGCGAAAAAATATCTAGGTTCACTTGTGACATACCGAAAAGCTCATTTATTTGCGACAAAGTGAAGCTATGATGGTAAATAAGTTAAAACAGAAATGGTTCTCGATTAATTATCCAGTACAACAATGGCTCCCTCAACGATCAAATTATTTCAGAAAGAAATAAACACTTTTGATTTTAAGCCTCATTGGTAATGGACAGAATGACTCTAAATATTTCAGTAATTTTTGAAGCATTAACTATTTTTGAGAAGTGATTTACAAAGAACTCATTAGACTGTTACAGACCGGCTCGGTTAGTGGAGAGAGTTAAAAGGGTGCCACACTGACCACCATTAGCTTTCGCTTGCTGTATCGATCTTCCACAGATTTTTACAACAAACATTCTAAAATTATTACATTCATCTGACTCTTAGGTATTCCATAGGAGCAGATTGTACTGCGAGGAGACCCATAGAATACCTTGATAGAAGAGGACGTTGGAGAAATCAGTAGACTTTCTTTTGAACTACAAATTCCACTGGGATAAGAATCGGAAATATTCCTCCACAAATCCAATCGATGGTAAAGCGATGGTGAGTTATTCCTCGTAAGTTTGAACTACGGTAAACAAAAGAGTTTTCAAATCACAATGATGAAATAAGAACTACCATTGATGAGAAGACAAATAAATTCTAGGAAAAATAGTGAAATCTGATTTGCAGACTTCATTGAAAAGACTTCTGTCACTCATAATTCATAATTAGTGATGCAGTCTATTGATTTATCTCTCAAGCCCCTTTGCTCGACAGGTTGATCCACTAACCAGTGATTTTCATCCTTCAGTCTACTTATACATTTGCTCTCACTGTTCGCAATGAAAATCAAAACAAAACAGGCCCCAAACTTACAGATGTAAAGTCGGTTTTAATGGACTGTCCATCAGCTACCACTAAGACAATGTAATAAGCATTTTTTCTGACAGGTGTCCAGATGTAAGTAGCATTTCTGTAGAAGATATGGGTTCCATCTGTGGACCGATCTCCAAGTAACACAGGAAACCCAGCCTGAAATGACACAAGTCAGCAATAACCGTTATGAGATAAAGGCACTTTTGTAAGTTTTGTATGCTTATCATAAAAACCAGCGAAATGAAAATAGAGAAATTTTTTGTACATCTACTTTGTACTTTGTTACGTTTTTCAAGCCGATCGCTTTTCCCCACGAAACTGTACGAGTGGTTACGGTGACATTTTAATATATGCTGTCGCTAAATGATATTCAGTATTATAGTGTACAGGGAGTAATTGATAAAAATTCTGGTTAAGGCAAGAATACCTTAAGATGCTATGGCGGGAAGTTTTAGAAGTTTACTAAACTTTAATTTTTTCCTTAACGTTAGCAATCTGCCTGATCCAACTTGTGGAGCTACAGATCTCCTGTGAGTCAGGAATCTTTTTTTCAGTCGTTCTGTATTTATATGTTTTCTCCATAGTCATGTTTTGAACGTGCAAACAGCCGAACTTTTCGTTTTTACTTTGGGGCATAATGACTTTTGATTATTCTGGATCTAGACTTCGTATATATCCCGTATACTATGAGTCTCCAAGAAGCAAAACTGACAGAGAAATGATAAAAAGTTAATTTACTTCGTAGCACTGTTCACCAGACCCTCCATGGGTTATGTTTGATATGATGTCATCAGGGAGGCTGGCCTCAAACAACGAAAGCGGCAAAAACGAGCGGCTACTAGTGGTGTCAGTCGGACTCGGGAGGGATGGGTGCAAAATTGTCCGACCTGGAATAAAATATTTCTTTGATGCATTTGTTCTTAAAGGGACTCTACTGTGTATCTGTTAGTATTGAGAGCTTTTTGATATATCTGATCAGTTCTTGGGGAGGGGTGTAGGGGGTACCGGTACACACCTCTCCCTTAGATGACACCGGCTTTCTAATATAACTAACATCGAGTGAAAGCGACCCTCGCAGTATTGAACTCTACTAAGCAGTAGTGAAAATGAGGTTTGGAAATTGAACCCATGACCTCTACGATGCTGGTGCAATGCTCAACAAACTGAGCCAGTATTTTGCGAAAAAAAAAGGAGAAAAAATAGAAATGACAAAACGCAGCCTGTGGTTCAATGGTTTTGAAGTAGAACATAAGACTAGATTAATAAAAATTTGTATTGAACGCTGCGAAAATTCTTTGTATTCTCAGCGTTGTACATTATATTATTGCAAAGTCACAAGACTTCTTCTTCGTTTTCGCTTTGTTTAAAATTTGTTTACGTCACCCTTCAGTCCCTTCATTCCTTGGTGTTACAACCCCTCCTAAGAAAAATCCTGGATCCGCCCCTGTAAAATGACAATACTTTGAGCCACGACAACTACTATGTGAAGTCATTAGATAGCTTCAAAGATACCTATGAGTCTCTCAATTGAACAACCTGGAAATGAAAATATATCTTTAAAAACTTGGAGAGTTACCTTCTTTGTTCACGAGTATGGCATAGGACTGGGCATTGGAAGACGCACGAAGGGCTTCTTTGAACAAGCGATCCAGAGGAAGGTCAAGTGCAAGGACTCCTTTTAATGACTCATTGTGAATCAGGGCAACAGATACTGTTACTGTGAGCCCTAGCTTTGAGTCCATGAAAGGGTCAGAAATCCGGGCTTTCTGATCAATCGGTATGTTTATTGATGTGTAGTAGCTGCCCATTATTCGTTTTAGTACCCCTTCCCTCTGGTCGCTTATTTCAACAAATACACCGCTGTTGTTGTACGCGATAGTTTTCAATCTTTGAAGACTTTTATGCGAGAGGCCAGTGCCGAGAGCGTACGTATTAATTTGGACTGTGTGGTTCTGAAAAGAAAAATGGGATTTTCAGTAGATGATACCTCTAAACTCAGCTGAGTGTTCAACGCATCAAAAAGAGGACATTTTTTCAATTGCCGCGGCCCAAATGAACAGTTTAATTTGAAATTAAATCTTTTATTTAGAAAATCTTAAAACTGTCCGGAAGTCTTTCGATTCCTGTTGTAAATGAACAGAGAAGCTCGATTTGTCTTTGATAAAACACAGATAAGTCAGCTCGCTATGAGCTAGTTTGCTGCAAGCCCTTAAAAGATTCGTGTTAGTGATACTCAAGCAAAATTACAAACCATTGAAGCCTGTCCTTCATCGATTGCTTGATAGATTTCTGCTTCAGTGTCACTTGGATCCCCGTCCGTTAAAAACAAGATGATGTTAGTTCTTCCAGATCCCTGTAGAAATGGTTAAAAATAACAGATTGCCGTACATACACTGTATGGTTTGGTCCACTGGATTTTAGTCGATCTTCGGTGAGGAGTTCTTATTAAATGTCACGGAATATATCATGTTTCATACGCATGCCTATATTGTTTGAATTTTTTTTAATTTGCAAAAATACCAATTCTCCTGTGCGGATAATCCAATCACTGAACGCATTCTTCCATAACCAACACATAAGGATTACCCTGTAATGCAAAAGAGCCTTCCCGCGAAACGTTTTGGCTTTGTTGTCATCATAGACAAAATATATGCTAGTCAATATAAATATTTTGGATACTATGTGAACCTGAAAGCTTAGAGGCAAAACTTATGATCAGGCTTAAATTAAACCAGAGTAATACAATCAGCACTCTCTTAACTACATCACTTTGAAGAAAGTCGTTTTGTTTCACAGTCAAATATTGTTTAAAATTCTCTTTCATGGGCAAACAATGCTCAAATTTGTTAAGCGACGTCGACCACTCTCGTGGTCAGAAATTAAACAAATTCTCCAGTTCTGTTTCTCGGGTAATGAGTGAAGGGGATGTTCACACCAACTACACGAATCACTACGTTCGTGTCCACCTAACAACTGAAATATTCGATAATTCTGGATTTCATAGGGAAATTGAAAGTTTGTCTAGGTAAACTAATTTTATTTGAAAAAAAAAGGAAAAAATGGGCGAGTAGCTTACTTGATATGTTGCATGTAGTATGAGCCTTTCTTAAAGAAGCTTTGTATGTGTTATTAATTGTGATCGACGATGCAATGAATGTTGATAGTTGACGTGTGCACGAAGTTCTCGACTCATTCTTCTGACCGATCTTTCCTTCATGGAGGATAGTCACGTAAAAGAGAGTTAATTGTAGAGTAAGCAATAGCTTCCCAACTTTCCGCGGAATCGAGTAAGTTATTAAAAGAAACGCACATTCCTTTTCATTACCTGCCTTGTGACATTTTCAAACATTTTGAAGGCGCTTTTGAAGGCTTTCGCGTAATAAGTTGATCCTGGAAAAGAAGAACGTCTCATTAAAACAATCATGATTCCTGGAATAAAATAAATGTTAAAATCTTTATGAGGATATTTCTTATGATTTAAACGGGCCTTGTCTATTTTTACCTGGACCATACTAGACAAAATGAACAAGGAAAGCCTATCTCTGAGTCATCTTGAATCCTACTTTAACAGTCCCATGATAAGGTATGTGAGTTTTACGGGTATCTCTGTTATATTTTTGTCACATTTGAAAGTCACATTTAGGGAGAAAACTTTCCTACCGAACGCCGTGAGTTTCCGGGTCCACTGCTTCATCTTAGCTAAATTTGCAGGGATTCCTTTCGCAACTGTGGCTCCGAAACATCCAGATGGGGTCTTTATCAGGTGGGAAAATGCCAAGATGCCGACCTAGCGGAAAACAACGGCAACAGTAAAAGAGGGAAAAGTTGAATCCCGTGCCAAAATGTCTTTGACTTACATTGTCCTGAGCTGACAGGGTGTCAAGCACTGTGACAGCGGAATCTTTGGCTAAAAGCATTCTCAGACCTGACATGGAGCCGCTGCGATCAACAATGATCACAAGATTTTTCTTAACAGGAGATGCTGTTTCCACGTACCATGATCTGAATGTCAGAATGAATTCCTACCATCAAATGCTAAGATTGACTTAATTATGTTACAGTGTGCATTGTAAGAATGATTCAAGGAGACTCAGTACAAATTTTTCGCTGAAAAACGCTAGTTCTCTTTTATTTCCTTGTTTTTCTATTTTCTTGAAGGAATTGTCTCCGATGCCCTTTCTGATATCCTTTCGCTCGTTCGGTATAAGTTTTAAAGTCTTTTTAAAATTGTTAACATGTGTTATTTTTGTAAAAGCAAATAAACAGAATATATAATCATGAAAGTGTGGTGCACAAGAGGCATGTCCAAGGGGGCGCCACGGTAGCATTATAATGAAGTGTCGCTACCTTTCGGTTGGCAGATAAAATGAAATTCCATTGATGCGTAAGATGGCACCTTTATGTTTGTAGGCTGATTTCTTTCTTGCTCAACTTACTTAAACCGTGGATCAAACTGTGCTGAAGAGGTGCCTTCACAATGGCGTGTGTTTCCAGGGTACTGGACGTATTCTCCGTCTATGGAACCGTAATATTGCCATGCAACCACTGGCGACCCTTTAAAGTTGTCTTTGAACCTTTTTGACAACTCAGCGTTGAGGATAAAGCTTTCACGTTCGCCACTTAAAGTCGAATGTTTGATAGAACAGCCAGTAGTTGTATCCACCAAAGATCGAAGTCTTTCGCTGAAGAAGGTTGTGACGCTGGTGCCGTTCAAATACTTACAACATTCAGTAACGTTTTCATGATGGGTCTTACTTGACAACTGATGCAGCGTAGCACTAAGCTCCTGTAGGAACTTTACAGAGGCATTAAGCCGAGCAGCTGCAGGATCAGTTATACTGTTCAGCAGCCTTTTAACATCAGTGGTTTGATTAACACAGGAAAGAGAATCATATAAGCTTTGAAGACGGTTAAAACCAAGGTTTTTCTCGAAAACCTCGTGTAAACGGTGGGCTATCTGCTGAGCAGCAGCATTTGTTTGGTTACATCCATCAGCAAATGACAATGATGAATCAGTTTCCCTCAAAATGGCTATCATGAAGACAACTGGAACAAGTTCCTTTAGTGATCTTCTCATCACTTCGAGAGCATGGAACAATCCACTTTTAACGTTGCTGCTGTTGTACAAAAGAATGAAACAATGAATTCTTTCGATAATTACGAAGGACCTTTCCACGTCAAAAAAACTATTATTGGAACGAATTGTTTGCTTATGAAATGGAAGCAAAGAAATTGCAGAAAGGAAATATTGGTCAGTTATTTGATGATGACATTCCTTCATAACATTACGGGCCACACGGCATCGAAAGACACAGTAACTTGTTTACAAACCATGGACACATGATGTAATACTCTGGGTGTAACAAGTAACCTATTGAACTCCTTTAATTAATTTGGCAGCGTCTAAGGTTTTTTGAAAAATGCGCTTTGCAGTAAAGATATTGAAACGTATGTAACAATAAAACGAACTTGCCACATGAAGTAAAGAACCTTGATGAGTGACTAACTTATTATTTGCTTTTCATCTTACATGTCTACAATATATGCCACAAAATTCCGAGTAAATTGATCCCTAGATCAATAGATATTGATATTGATACCTAAATTGATCACCATGCTAAACAAATTTCTGTGGAAATACAAAGGAGACGGTAAAAACCCTCACAATTAAACCTCAGTGTTCCTATGATATCGCAGTTGTATGTTTTTTGGCCGCGTTCTGTGCCAACAGTGTCTGGCTTTACTTTACTCCCCGCTGAACCTGAAGATGCAGGAATTTAACCTATCACTAAATGTAAAGAAAACACCACTTAATATAAAACAAAACAAAGTAAGACTTTCGATCCGCATTATCGAGTGTGTGTTTCAGATAAGCCCCAACGCATTTTCCGTTTGGATATACTATTTACAGTTTGCGAACATACTGTAAATATGCCTATTGTCAATCATGGTTTGTTTCTAAGCGTGACAGCTCTGACAAAACTGTTCATCAGTCTTACATAATCTTGTATTATCTTATTCATGAGGACATTCAAGGTGATAAAGACACCTGTATTCAGATAGAATGAGAGAAATTTTTTCAAGGAACTGCCTTCACTTCACGATTGAGTATCCTCTCTTGGTTGTGTACTCAACACTCAGGGGTGGATTTGAAATGATGAATTGAAAGTAGGTGTTTAGAAAGTAGAAATATGTACGGTGGCAATAAAATTTGATCAGGTTGGCCCCTAATGGTAAATATTCGTGGTTGAAGCTTACCCGCCCGTTTATACGGATAAAAGCTTGGCACCGGGATAATGAAACGAAGCTGCAGTGGAACTGAGTCGCATCAGAGGCCTATGACACGAGAAAACTTTCACTGACTTGTATTTTTGAACCAATCGTATTGGAGCCTGCCTCGTATGTTCTTCACTTGGTCGGTCGTTTTCTGGGGGTTTTCTTCAAGTATGACTTGTGAAGACACTAAAGAAGATTAGTGAACAAAGGTACACACATAATCTTATTGTCGTTTTCAGATTATGAAATACATCAATAGCAAAGACATGAAAAGAGGTTGAAAACGTCTCCCGACAAGAGATAATCACTCACAAAAAACGAGCAATAAGGGATTGGGAAAATTCGGATAGATCGGTGCCTGAATCAGCGTGGAAAGCACACTAAAGTAATACCTTTAAGGACGTTAAAGTAGTTGCGAAAGCGATTCCCTAAAAAAGCAGGGATTAAGTTGTAATCTCACTTCTCTGTAGCAACATAGGTCACGCAAATGAAGGGATATGATCGTGAAATTGAAAATAAACTGTTGACTTAAGGTAATTTGCTGTAATTGTACTAACTTAAACAGTGTTTAGGGGAGGAGCAGTCATGTACTGATTTTCTTCATGGCGTTCATCGAGTGATTTGTAAATAAGCGGCTTCCTCGAATGTTTTAAATTTCACAAAATATAAGAGCTCTCCATTGTGCCTCATTATCAGTGTTAAAAAACAAAAACATTTGCGCGGCAACACCATTTGAAATTCGATTCGATAAGAATTGTTAAACGAAGTCGTTATAATTGGAATATATCTTTGAAAAATCAGAACGCCTCTCTTGTCCAAATGCCTAAATCAAATCGTCTTATTTCTACGCATGATTTATTTATACACATGATTTGCGTCAATTGCCGCGATTACCAACGTCCTATCAGCCCAACATGTCAGATGTAGTTAAGCAATTGGCGGTACTTTCTGTCGGTTTACCGATTACCGGTTTCACACGCGCAGGATGTTGGGAGAACACGAGAACAGTATGTACATCACAAGCCAGTGGCGAGAGTATAGAAGGTTTTCGAGATCTGCCAGTTCTCTGAGTTCGGGGTTCGGTAATGCTTAAAGTACGCGTTCAATGATATGAAAGTCTTCGTTTTGGAATTCTTAAATTGTTTGAATACAATTCAAGATGGTCGGTTGTCAGTTACTGTCACAAAGGAACATGAACTTGTTTGTTCGTAATCTTGCAAGAGACAACGCTTTAAAATGTTTTGATTGTAAGCAATTCTGAGAAGAATGTTTTTGGATGAGGAAGTAAAATGACCTCAGTTCTAAGAAACTGCGGACTTGAAACATAATCTTCGTACTCTTCTCAGACAACAATTAGATTTTTTCCACTCTCCTTGTCACTCGTTTTCTAAAATGATTACAATTCTCTGAATATTTAATATAATGGCTTGATCCCCTGCAAACTGAAACAATCAAATGATGTTAGTATCACTGAGTTTAAAGCACACGAAGAGAAGAATATTTTGAGATGTTAAAGGATATAGATGGATATGTATGCCTTTTTTGTTAGGCTGTGAAATGGTGCCGGCAGTGCTGAGCTCTGCCAAACCTTAACGCGTTTTTTATAAAAAAACTCTTAACACAAACATCTTTATCAGTCAATATCTCATCAGGTCTAGCTGTATCAGCTAAAATTTTCAGATTTTTCAATGCGCTGAGTGCGCTGTGCACAACTGCCAGCATATAAGACACAGTATATGTGAAATGCGTCTGAAGATCAATTTGTGCAAAATATGTAGTGCGTCATCATATCACAACAGAGGAAACGGTCAGTGTATTCTTGATACACCTCTATCATTTTCTTATTTTCACTTCCTATGAAGATTGCCGAGCGACACGAGCCTTGTATGGTGAACGGATGATTATCACTCTCGGCAAATTACAGCAACGGATGACACAGCTAGCATTGCTCTATAATCATAATCGCTATTTGTTAAAAATATAGTTATTGACTGTTGAAACGAGATAACAATTGATTAAACTTTTCTTATTATATTTACGAACTCGAATCAAAAGAAATTGGCTCGCGTAATATTTAACGCCAAAGAATATCTTTTCAGGATCATATTTGTTTACCCTACGAATATTTTAACGTCATCAAGGATGAAAACGTCCTTAAACATACCTTTCAAGAAGCTGACATTCTTTCCGAATTACAGAATTATTCTGAAGCCTCTATATCTTCTAAAAATGCCTGAGCCCAAAAACTTTAAAGCTAACTGTTGGCGCTCAGCAGTAAGACTCATTCGAGTCGAGTTTAAGTTATATGGTGATGACAAATCTTGACCTCTGATCGTTTCTACGAAAAATTTGTGTAAAAGTATCTGAACTGATAATTTCTTTAACAGATGGATCCAACTCTCAAAACGGAAACAAACTAATGTTTTATTCAAGTTTCGGAAAACGGTGTCGCCACTACGTTTTTATACCTCTGTAATGTACTCGTGGGATTTACAGTAAACAGCTCACCGAGCCTTCTGAAAACACCTGTTGAGTGCATTAAGTATAAATAAATAGGATATTTTGATGAGGAAGTTTTCTTTTCTGAATGAAAAACAGTGACCTCTGTTATCATTAGTCTATAATTATTTATCAACTGGTCGCATCATTATGGTACATGATTCAACAACGTATTTTGTTCTCAAAGATAGACACCTTTATGTAGGAAATGCGTTTGGGAGAGATATACATGTATTATACAGGGTAGTCCAGGGAGCTCGCAAAAATTCCCACCAGTCATAAAAAGAAGCCCTAAATATTCAGAAAAAAACTATTTATACATTTTTCATGTGGGAGTTTCCGCCAAAACGCACCGAAAAGTTGCAAACTGTTCAGTAGTGGACAGATAGGTATATTAAGTCGGGTGGCTAGCCGAGAACAAATGTTTTACGTAGTTGGCTGTACTCTCGTGCGCCAAGCTGTTCTCGGTATAATTTTTTGTAAATGATTTTTTATAAATGGATTCTACTCTTTCTCGATGGTTTTGTTGCCAACTATTCAAAACTGTATGGTAATCTGGCCTTAATACTCATTCTCCCTTGCATGAAGAGTTTGTCCAAAGATTCAAACGAGGTTTATGGACTGTCATCTCATTCAGTCATGCCAACAATGTACTCATTTTTCATCTCATTAACTTTCTTAGCCGGTAAAAGCGATGACGTGGATAACGCTGTTCTCCAATCACGAGAAATGTCGACCAAGCAAATGCCTGATTGAATAATTTTTTTATACACGGTATTTGTTAGATGTGATCGACGTGGGAGAAGGAGTGATCTGTTACTATATGTTCGCCTTTGTCATTAGTGACACGCGTCAAATAGTGCATCTAAATATTCTGAGGTTTGCGTGTCCTTGATGAACTTCGAAGAATCTGCATTTCCCTAAACACCAATGTTTTCTTACCCTTAGCGTTCAAACTCTCCCATCGCTTATTTAAGATGGCCTTTCACTTTTGGCATGTATTTCTACAAAGTCAAAGACAATATTGTTGCTGCTTTTGTTATTGTTGTTTTTTGTTGCTTGGGGCATGTTAGCTGATACCTTGTTAACTTATTGCAGCTTGACTTAAATTTCAGTTGTGTCCTCGTGTACCGGTACACAAAGGAACGAAACATTAACGAACTGCGTCACAACTCCATGTATGGACATGAAAACAATAGGAATTCCCCCGTGTACCGGTACACCAGGACAGCCCCTAAATTTCTTTTATTAGGTACCGTTTCCCTGAAAACTCTAATTCATCAGCAAATAAAGGTAACGCTT